ATTACTAATATGGTAAATAATTAACTAATGTGATAAATATCAGTACTTAGACCCATACACACAAAGGCTCTTTGGAATCCTCCATAATTTTTAAGAGTATAAAGGGGTCCTGAGACCAAAAACTTTTCAAACCACTGAACTAAAAAAAAAAAAAAGATGAGTGTGATAAAAAATCAATACTTGAAATCTATTCATGGTTAGGCTTAGAATTATGCCATGAGAATAGATAAGAAGAGAAAACATCAATTTACAGTCATTCCATCCTATGGGAAATTAACTTATGAAGTAAAACAGAGCAGGAAGTATTCATGAGAGCTGATCTGAAAGTCCTGGATAGACCATTTCACCTTGGAATTGTGCTGTTAAAAAGCTCTCTTGTGTGTTATCACACATGATTTTGAAAGGAGTGTTTCACTGGAGATAGAGTTGTGTTTCCTTGCTCTTGACTTCCAGGTAGTAATAAAGCAGAATGCACTGGTTTCCTTATTCATGCTTCCTCTGGTTTTAATTTCAGGCTCTCCTAAATAGTCGAGAGGACTCGTCACAGCTGATGTTGGATACCAAATACCTCTTTCAAGTCACGTTTCCTTTTACCCCCTCTCCCCATGCTCTGGAAATGATCGAGATCCCCAGCAGTTTCAAGCTAGGCTTTCTCAATAGATTATAGCAGCAGAAGAAAGAGTAGAGGCACTTTTCCCTCAAAGGCTAAATAAAGTTCAAGTATGGGGATGGGGATTGTTAATTGGAACTGGAAATGCTCTGGGATGTGATTTAAGGAAGAAAATAAGAATTCTCCCAAATGGGCCACATCTTGTGTCACTCACTGTGATGCTGTGGCCACTGTCATTTTGTAAAACTTAACACACCCCAGCTGTGGCCATGTCTAGCCTTGAAATCTCAGCTAGCTTTTACTGAAATTCCTGGAAGGCTCATGTTCTCTTCCTGGTGCCTCTTGGTCTAGATCTGTCTTGTACAAGCCTCCACCCGGCGGGCATAAGATCCGGGGAGACACTGTTTCCAAAGTTTTCTAAGGTTCATGTGAAGTCCAGGTACATTTATGAAGCCACAGTGGTGTCCAGGCCTATCTTCCAGGAAATAATTCCATTTGGCCATGATGGCCTCCCAAAGAGCCTCTTACCCCGTGCCTAAGTGTGCGCTGAGTTTCACTCTCCTTTTACTAAAAATATTCCTGCATATAAAAGTATTTATTATCTCAGATCCCTCTAATTTTTAAGAAAACACTCAATTTGAAAAGTATCACATGAAGTATTTTTATGTATATATCTATTTAAAACTAATGTATTGTTAAAGCTTAATTGCCACATTTATCATCTTTTCTGAAACAACATTTCTTTAAATCTCATCTGCCAACATATTTGCCATCATTTGCCGGTTTATTATCTTTCATACAATAACTTTTTTTTAAAACACAGCTTAGAAAAGCAACCTAAATGATTTTTTCTATCTTATCAGCATTCAAATATGTTTTAAATTTTTCTCATAAAAATGCCTGAAGAATTGTATCAGGTTCCTCCTTTTGAGAAGTCAGTGTTTCCCAAGTCTTATGGGAACTGACTATTCCTCGTCCTCCCATGCCCTCTCATTCCTTCCTTTCAGAGCATAAAACGTCATTTCATCAGCCCTCCTTGCCTGTGGCCTGTGGCCCCAGAACGCTTCTGCAGCACCCCACAAATCCCAACTGGCACTTCTGTCTCTGAAAGTCACAGGCAGTAGGTGTGACTCTGTAACATAGACATTTCTCTTAGCAGTGAAAATAATATATGATCTCCCTAGTAATATGTAATAATGTCTTTACATATTATAAATGATTGAATTTAATGCCTTTAGATACACTGCATATGAAGAAATAAAAAGTAGAACTTTGTAATATTTTAATCAATAAAATGAATTCCTGTATGAATTGGGTCAGATTCTTTTAATTGCTAGGAGATTATATTTTCCTTAAGTGCACAAATTTATGTCTTTCTTTATGGATCGTTTTTAAAGATGCTGGAATCTTTATTGAGTCATAATATTTCTTAAACATATATAAAAGTTTTTAGAGAGGAGTGAATATGCCCTGAGTCCTGGCTCAGGCTGTGTCTCCGTGGGGCTCCTAGGCTGCCAGGATGAAGGGCTAATTGGCGGAGAGTTGGCTGGGTTTCTGATCTGCACCATGGCCCTCTCTGTGCTTCTTCCAGACCTTTCCTAGGCCCTGAGGAGCCCATCAGCCTTACTTTTCAGCTCCCATAACTCCGGGTTCATGCCTGTTTTACAGCACTTCCCCTGGGCTGTAAGTCAATAATGTTCCCCAATTCCTCACTGGCCTGTGAGATCCTGGAGAGCAGGTCCACATCTTAGGCATCCCTGCCTTCATCTCCATGCTGGGAGGTGGAGAGAACTGCAGGAGCCAGGTCCTATTGAGGTGGCAGAATTGGGGGGGGCGGGAAGGGGAGCGGCGAGGGGGATGTTGGTCAGCCTTGGGAAGGAGTAGATTTTGTTTGGAGACAAGACAAGGGGACCTGCAGAAGCTGAGAAATGTATGCATGGAGAAGGGGTAGTGAGGCTCGCTCACCCCACAGTCTTGATCAGTTCTACAAAGCTGAAGGTGGGCGGGGTCGCCAAAATTAATGAGGTGCTGGTGGGATGAGGACTGTTGGGAGGTGGGAGGTGCCCATAACATCCCATCACAGGTCAACGTCAGGGGTGCTCTGTGGCGCCGAGTGTGGATTCACAGGGTCAAACCTGTGAACTCTGCCTCCCACTGAGGGCAGAGAACTGAGCTCGAGAAACTGTCCCACGGGGGTTCTGCAGGCACCTGGCAGCACAGATGGGCAGAAGGTTCCGGGGGTAAGTGATGCAAACGGCAGTAAGTGCCCCAGCAGGGACCACGGAGCTGCAGGGGGGCAGGAATGAAGCAGCTGAGCTGTAATGCCCAGATAAGGAGATTAGACAGGATGCAATCAGTCCCTTTCACACCTTCACCCTGAGCTGTAGCTCTAACTTCTCACCTTTCTGCTGATCAGTTCCAAGTGTTGCCTCTGTGGAAGGTATGTATGTGTTCGCATTAAATTAATACTCAGGCTTTCTTAAATGCTCAGATCAGTGTTCAGATGTGTACACAGCAAGGTGTTAACAGTAGTCTTTGTGATGGGAACACAGATGAGGGAAAGCGGTGGTTGTTTATTCTAAGTTATCTACAATTTACATGCATTTCTTTTGAAATAAGGTGTATTGTTTTTAGGATATATTTAGTACTGGCATCAGGGAAAAAGTTAAGCATCTTTAAAATCGTTTAATCAGTTTTAAAAATTGATCCAAATAACACTTTATACGTCAACATAAGCCTCAGAGTGCAGTTTATGGATTTGAAAGAGGTTTTTTGACATAAACATTATATAGTCATAATAAGTTTGGGAGATAAAGCCACATTGTCTTGCGTATCAGTTTATTTTTTATTGCATGAACATATCACAATTTATTTGTCTAGTATACTATTAGTGAACATTTGGGTTTTTCCAGTTTGAAGCTATTATGAATAAAGCTGCTATGATATTCTTTTTTTTTTTTTTTTGTACCAATTTATACTCCCGCCAGCAAGGAATGAGGTCCAGTTCTCCACATCCTCGCCCACGCTTCAGATTGTCAGTCTTTTTCATTTTAGGTGTACTGGCAGGTAAGTAGTGATATCCCAGTGTAATTTTAATTTGCTTTTCTTTGATGACTAATGATGTTAAGCACCTTTTTACATGTTTATTGACTGTAAGAATATCTGTACTTGTGAAGTGTCTCTTCAAGTCTTCTACCCATTTAAAAATTATTTCTATTGAGACATAATGCACATAACGTAAAACTCACCATTTTAAAGCTTGCGTTTCAGTGGTTTTTAGTATATCCACAAGGGTATGCATTATCTAATTCCAGAGCATTTCCACCACCCCAAAAAAGAAACCTCATACCCATTAAGCAGCTGCTCCCTACCCCCACCCTACTCCCCACCCCCACCCCCTGACAACCTCTAATCTACTTTGGATTTTCCTATTCTGTGGCTTTGCCTATTCTGGACATTTCATATGAATGGAAACATAACTTGTGGCTTTTTGTGTCTGGCTTATTTCACTTAACATAATGTTTTCAGGGTTTGTCCATAATGTAGCACATACCAGAACTTCATTCTTTTTTATTGCCAAATAACATTCTACTGTTTGGATATATGTACATATTTTGTTTATGCATTCATCAGTTGATGGACATTTGAGTCGTTTCCGCTTTTTGGCTTAAATGCTGCTACAAACATTTGTGCATAAGTTTTATCTTAAGTATATACCTAGGAGTGGATTTGCTGGGTCATATGGTAACAACTCTGTTTAATTGCCAAACTGTTTTCCACAGCAGCTGCACCATTTTACATTCCTGCCAGCAAAATATGAGGGTTCTCTTGCCCATTTGTAATTGGGTCAATGAAGCATTATTTTAAAAGTAAAAACTGGAGAGTACTCTACATATCACAAAATAGAAGATTTATTTAATAAATTATACTCCATAGTATAGAATAATACTAAAATTATTACAAAACAAAACAAAAAAAACCCCAACCAGATCTATAAGTACTAACAGAATAATTTAGGTGAAAAAAGCAAGTAGCTGACAGCCCCGTTTATATAATTAACAAAGCTTTATCTGTGGTGTCAGAAAAGCCTGGAAGAATAAGAACCAAACTAAATAAGGGGAGTAGATGCGGGACAGGTAATGGGGGCATTTCCCTTTTGACTTTCTGTCTTTGGCATTGACTCTTTTAAAAATAAATATGGGATGGTGGAGTTTTTGGTAATTTTTAAACCATATATTTAGGTGAAACATTTCCAAGAAATTTCGTGTTTGGTGTAGGGTTAGCAGGAGGTTTGAGAAGTTCTATGAATTTCTTCTGCAGAGCAACTTCATGTAAAAAACTTGTTAAAATGAGGCATTTTTATCTTTTCGTTGTAAAAATACTCATTAAAGCATTTGCTCTGTAAAACGTTCCCTCGTCATAAAAAGGATTATTGACAATAAGTACAATAGAATGTTTTAAAATTAAATTTAGCTCATGATATAATTGCTGAATGAAAAATATCAGGATAAAAAGATATAGAGTATACATGAACAGTATGATGCCAATGGTCCTAAAAATCTTGCATATGCCAGGGGCTGGCGGAGTGGCTCAGTTGGTTAAGAGTTGGCTTAAGAGCGTGAGCTCTGAGCAACAGGGCTGCCGGTTTGATTCCCACATGGGCCAGTGACGCTGCGCCAGAGCTGAGCTGTCGCTGAGCTACCAACAGGTGGCAGGATGGTTCAGCTGGTGTAACAACAAGATTGCCTGTTTGCTGGTAGGCTATGCCCACCTGTAACTAAAACTGAATTCGGCACCTTGAGCTGAGCTGTGGCCTGGATGGCTCAGTGGGTAGAGCGTGCGCTCTTAACAACAAGGCTGCTGGTTCGACTCCTGCATGGGATGGTGGCTATGCCTACCTGCTACTAAGACTGAACACAGCACCTTGAGCTTAGAGGCTACAGCTGTTGATGGGAAGCCAGATGGCGACTGGCGCCTTCCACAACGAAGATTGAAGCACGGCAACTTGGCTGGTCCCCTTCCCCAATTCCTCAACACTGTTCCCCTCTCCCAATTCACCAATAAAATATTTAAAAAAAAAAAAATCTTGCGTATGCCAAAATGTGAAAAGGGGTCTCAGTGGGCAGTGGGATTATAGGTGATTCTTTTCTTCCTTATACTTTTTTCATTTGTCCAGACTTTTTACAATGACCATGTATAACATTTATGGTTTTAAAACACTATAATCTTTTAAATTTGGTTTGTAGCTTACCCATGTTTAACCAACCAGATCTAAAATGTGATATGATTTAAGGTTGATATAACTCAAAACTTGTGGTCTCTATTTAAAAAAGGTGTTTTCCAAGAATATGCAATGACACGTGAAAATGAAAACACTATTAAGCAAAAAACAAAAATTCAAAATTGTATATGGCATATAATTCCAATTTTTAAAAAAGTATTTATATTTACATAGACGCTTATGAAGATACTGGAAGAAAACATAAATTGCTAACAGAGGTCAATTATTTGTTAGTATAGGGAATGTAGGTGATTGACTTTTCTTTTTCGTGTCTTTCTGTTTCCAATTATTTATCACATAAACATGTACAGCTCTTATAATTTGAAAAAAATTTACATTCAGTCTGTGAAGGAAAACATTGTCTCTATCCAGATTTGGAATATTGGCAATTTTTTCACTTTCTCTTTGTCTTGATCTCCCACAACTCCTAGCCATCCTTCTGTTCTTTCCCCACTTGTTCCTTCAGTCCCTCTCACCTTCTATTCCTGCAGCTGCTACTCCATCCAGAGCTCATTTCCTCATGCCCAGAATGTGATAATAATCTCTTAACCTAGCTGATTTTCTCTGACCTACTTCTAGAAGCACAAATGCTGGGATAATCCACTTGAAGGACGTTGCTCCCTTGCTGAAAACCCACGGCTTACCTTCCGAATGCTATTACTTGGAGTCCTCAGCACAACCTCATGATTGGCCGCCTTGGCAGGCTTGGGCAGTGGTGGGCAACATTACTGGACCTCTACCTTGGGCCAGGCTCTGGTGGGCAAGCTCTTTTGTGTCACTTGTTGTGACAAAGCAGAGCAGCTTGGTGGTGCTAGTTCCCCAGTGAGGTTTGTGGAGTCCCATTGGGTATAGATTCAGGCTCCACCGTTGACCTTGAACTTATTTAATCCTTTAATCCCTCTGCCAGCATTTCCTCAGCTGTAACACAGATGTCCTGCCTCCCTCTCAGGGTGGCTCTGAGAGGTCAAAGCCGAGCAATCTGTGGTGGTCCCTAGCTGGTTCCTTTCTGATCTCTCATCCTTAAGGGACTGTCCTCTACTCCTTAGTTACCTAGTGATCTCAAGAACTGTGCCAGCTGCCCCTTTGCTGTAGGAGTTCAACCCATTCATGATCTTCACATTCTCTCTGCAGCCCCAACATGACCTCTGCATGACAGACATTCCCCTCAAGGGTGTCCCCACTGGCATCTGCCTTGTAAATACATCCCTTGAAAATTTGGCTCTGTTGAAATGTACAGATCAGTGCCCCCAAATATCTTTATAGTCAAGAAGTCATTTCTTTCAAACTTGTCATGACCCACTCTTTGGAACACCTATTAAATTGGCACAGCTACAATGGCCGTTCCCTCCCACCTTCACCTCCTTGTCTTTCATCTCCAACAATGGCACCATAACCCCTCAGCCTCCCAAACAGAAACCTAGGAGATATCGTACATATCTCCCTCTCATCTCCACACATCTCCAAGTCCAGCTGCTTCTCTTTCTTTTTTTTTTTTTTT